CAGGACGTCAGCAACTCTACTGCGTGCGATGAGTGTGGGAATCGATAATCTTGACCAGAACACAAGGGCATAGCAACTGCATGCTTCAACACCTGGCCAGTCGATCCGCGATGCACTCGGGAGCTGCCAACTGTCATAGGCATGTAGCGGCCTAGCAACTACATCCTATAAATACCGCAACACCTGGGCGACTTACCACCCCTATCTGACTCTGCCTCTGATGATTGATTCGAGTGAGAATCCGAAACGTCAGGCTAACAAAGCTCTTGTTCCAGTGATCTTATCTCCTTCTTCGCGACTACCTGGGATTTGCCTCTTCGCTTCTTCCATATCACGTCAACAGGCCAGAAAGTCACGATGACTGATATTCACTGAGAGGTGGAGATACTCTCATTGACCACACAGTCGAATCATATGCTGCTTTCAGACCCTTTTAGGTTGTTTGGAGGTCGATGTAGACATTTGACTTGGCTGTAAAACAGGTACGATCAAATGTTATGAACATGGAGACTGACAAGCAGAGGGATTTAGCCGTTCATTGGGATGTTCTACTACTGACATGACCGTTAGACCGTCAGTTTTGGCAATGTCCACCATGCGCTCACACCAGGCTGAGTGCTTGTACAACTGACATACGACATTTAAGGCTGCAACACGGAACTCATACGAAGGAACCGAAGTCTCTAGACATTACAGCGTGTGATGATCTAGTTTATTGGATTAACGACGAGCGACTTGTTTGACAAGACGTCATGCGACATAAATGCCAAATCGAGATGGTGCTTTAGAGGTCAGCTAGGCCTTCCAATGGGACCGGGTAAATTTTTATACTTTCTACTGTTTAAACATTACAATCTCCTTCGTACTTGGTTAAGATTCGTAAGACCAGTGACTTCAACTGCATTTATACAACGAAAACTTTGAATGTAGATAGAGTCCGCCTACCGTACTCTTTAAAAAGGCAATTTCACCGCGACATTTACGAATTTCCAACCGGCATTGTCCTCTGACCAGTTAGGTTAAACTGAAAAGAAAAAAACATTCATTGATAGCGAAAGTGCTGTTTTTATATATACACTGGGGGGTGACGTCGTACGCAGAAAATTGCTACCTCGCTGAGGACTGCCGAAAAGAAAACTAAAGCGCAGGAAAAAGGAACTTCTTCGCCCTGAGTCTTCTCTCTTTTTCTCGAGCGCATCGTCACCACGCATATGAGGAGGGCAGCAGAAAAAACTGTGTAGCGGCCGAGGACGTCAAGGGTAGCGCACAACCACGTAACGGAATACCGAGGAGGAGATCCTGGCTTGTGTTGATCTGAATACGATTGTTAGCAGTTCACGATACTCATCCATACATAAAGGAAGAAGAAACGATCGGCGGACGGGAAGATATAATGAACAGAAAAGGGAATTGCAAAGGAGTATAATGACAGTTAAAAGTACACGCGAGATGAGTTACAACAGTCGAATGATCTGTCTGGGTGGAGAGGCGAGGCCAACATGCCAGCTGGACAACCGGTGGGGAGCGCAGCGCTGGGGGCAACTGCAGGGAAGGGCCGAGGGAGTTGCCGATGTAGTGAGGGCAGCGGTACGAACGTTACGACACGCTACGGAGCGGGAGAGGGGATCGGCGGAAGAGAGTGGAAGGGACACCGGCCATCTTCACCAACATGCGGCTACGCCATCCCCATCCTAGGTCCGCGCGCCAAAAGTGCCACGGCATTCAAACAACCCTGTACAGATCACGGGACGTTACAACTGCTTATGTGCAAGAATGAGTCAATCAAATTCGTTCTGGTGCATGCCCGCATCGACCTTGGGAACAGTTACCAATCCTGAGGCTCGGCTGCTCCTTCGCCTGACCACGTAGGACGTGGCAGCTGGGCGTCCCCTGAAAATTTGTTAACTGGGTTGCAATTCGCACAAATATCCTCATGACAACGAAGTAAAAGGGGAAATATGATTTCGAAAAATAGGGAATAAGAATGCTGGGTCTGCCCGCCGAACAGCAGTGTCATGCTCGCGCAACCCTGTCTCAAATTTTCTCTCCATAGGATCGGTCGGCGTGACTGATGAGATAAACAACCTTCAGATGGTTGCCCGTGTTTATTCCGTCCGTTGATTTCATGAACTGATAGTTCCTCGTAGTCTTGAAGAAGGAGACACGATCGCTGGGGCAAGAGCTTTATTAGCCGGACGTTTCGGATTCCTGCTCGAACCCATCATCAGAGACAACAGCAAATACGTGTGGTTCATGCACCAGGGGCTGCAGTATTTATTGACTGCAGTCGCCATGCTACTGCATACCTATGAACATTCACGGCTCCCCCCTTCATCCGGGATTGTCGCACGTGATGTGATGACTGTTTAATTGCCGACATTCGCGTCGTTATTTGCTGCAATTTCATCACGTGCGTTGGATGTTGGTGTGATGATTGCTCTACCATCTGACCCACCGACCCTGGAGTTGGGAAGTGTTCACCTGTGCACTCCCCGCGTGGCTAATTATTCCGTCTAGGCGAAGTCTCAGCAACGAGTATGGAAGGGGAAGGTCATTGCACTTGTTAATGGACTGGGACCAGTAAATCATGACTTAAGTAGCTCCTGCTTAACGCGGTTGCCACCTCTTGCGAGAATTTCGTCCTCGTCGAATTTGAATGTATGGCCGGATCTCGTCGAATGAGCCGCAACTGGAGAGCTGGCGTCATTTCTCCGCATCGCTGAAGCGTGTTCGGCTATTCTCGTTCGGAGCTGTCTTCCGGTTTCTCCGACGTAGTTGCTTTGTCCGCAACTGCACCAGATCCGATAAACGACTCCAGATGTTTCTACCCGTGGGAGCGGGTCTTCCAGCTTCATTAACTGACGCCTGATGGTTGCCTCCGGTCTGTGTTCAACTCCAACCCCAAGTGCTGCTAGAAGGCGACCGACCGTTTCCGAAAAGTTCTTGACGTACGGAAGCGTCCGCCAAGATTTGGTGTCCGTGCGGTTAGGCCTTTCGTCCATCTTGCGTATGCACCGGTTGACAAAGTTGAGGGGGTAGCCATTGGCTTTGAAGACACGTCGGAGGTATTGTAGTTAGGCAATCTTGTCTTCCGGCTCACTGCAGTGCGTTTCGACACGCCGATCGAGCGTCCTTAGACTACTGCGTTTGTGGCTGATCGGGTGGTTACTGTTGAAGTTTAGTACTTGCATCGTATTTTTCACTTTTTTGAACACTTTGGTCTTTAGTCCACCACAATCTTTGCAGCATACGAGGACATCCAGGAAGGCCAGCTGGTTGTTCTCTTTCTTCTCATCGTAAATTGAATGTCCGGGAAGACCGCATTCAGACGTTCCTTGAATGCCTCAGTTGATCCCGTTCGATGACGACGAAGATATCATCAACATACCGGGCCCAGAACTTTGGTCTGTGGTGTTGGAAGACCAGCGACTCTAACCGTTGCAGGACCGCCTCAGCGATATATCCCGAAATCGGCAAACCCATTGGTGTGCCTTTCACCTGTTCGTAGATTGTGCCGTCGAACGTGAAGTACGTCCTGAGACAGAACTTCAGGAACTGAAGGACTTGGGTGTGTCCAAGACGATTCACCGTTTCATCATAGTCACCGGCCGCTGTGAGAGGCCTGATTTATACGTAGCAACTTTGAAGACAGAACTACAATTTCATCCCTGTCAGACTTTTCTTTTCGTGCATTGATTAAAACAACTCTCTGGGGGGGGGGGTGGGAATCTACGGGAAGTTGCAAATCATAACGCTCGACAGCTTAGAACTGCATCCACATCCCCTCTTGTGCTTAGTTCTTCGTTCTCATTTACCCTAGACTGCTGACCCTAGAATAGATTGATCTACTCTGAATTAGCGGTTAGTTTCTAAGGGAATTAAAAAGCGATAATTCCTAAACTGAATTATCTGCTAGAAAGCACACGGGGAATGCTGGGTAACCCACTGAAGAGCAAAACCCCTCGCATCTGGCCATACGGCGGCAGAATATCGGCGAAGCACCCATACCTAGCGTTTTGGCTAGTGTCTGTGCTGCTAGTATGGTATATTCTAACGCTAAAATATACTACTAGCTGCCTGTCGGCAGTTTATGAATATTACGTGGTCATCCCGATGTGGCTGATGGACTTCAGCCCAAGTATTCATTCATCAGATTTCGGTCTGCGCGTATAGACCCTGGTATAAACTGATCTACTCCGAGTAGACAATTACTTTCTAAGGAAATTAAGAAACAACAAAGTAAGACATTCCTGTCAGGCGTTTCTCCTCGCACATTGATTTAAACAGGTCTTTTGGGTGAAAGGAGGACACTGAAAGTTGGATGTCGCAAAATCGGAAGGGCTCAGTTCGTCAGCCTGTACCATTCGCAGTACACGTTCCTCTTTGGCCTCCATTGGTATTTTCTTCTTAACGGAATCGTAGAAATATTTCGTGCAAAGTGTGCATTGTTTCCTTCTTCTCCTCCTTTCTTCTATCTATTGTCTTTATCCCTAAAATTATGGAAGAGTGCTGTAGTCTGTTCGGAGATCAGGATGATCCAGCCAATGTCATTCAATGGTGGGGGATGCTCACCGAATTCATTGCCAACTGCCCATGCTGTCGACAGCTGCAATTAGCGGCCAATACATCACATGTTTGATCTTCCTGTGATATGATCCTTGCGGAGCGGTGGACGTTCGTGCTGAAACGTTTGGCATGATGTTTTCAGATGACAACGCACCTCTCCCCCCCCTCCTCTTAGTAGCAGAACGGTTGAGCTAATTTTGAATGACCTTAGAGGTCATGTTGGAGTATCTTGTCTACTCAGACCTGTGCTAAACCTGGCTGTTTGAAGGGAAAAAGCCGTAAACGGCTCTCCAACTTCAATCTTCATTCCGCACGATTTCTCATTTGTTGGTTTTTTCTTGTTGCGGGTCCTAAACGCCCTTTGAGCCCAGGTAGTCACACAGGACTCATCGAGAAAATTTCAAAGTGGCAGTCAGAATGCAAACTCCCCGGCAATGGGACTACGTGGAGAACAGCCAGCACTTGAACAGGAGGAGAAGAAGAAGAAGAGGAAGAAGAAGAAGAAGAGGAAGAAGAAGAAGAAGAAGAAGAAGAAGAAGAAGAAAACGAAGAAGAAAAAGGAGAAGGAGGAGAAGGAGGAGGAGGAGGAGGAGTAGGAGGAGGAGGAGGTAGTGGTAGTTGTGGCGGTGGTGATAGTGGTGGGGTGGTAGCGGTGCGCTTTCCGACCGTTCTTGCGAAACTCACTCGTTTCGTTGTGCCTTACGGGTTCTCTCTCTCGAGCGCAACCAGCAGCCGCACAGCGGCGCGTGATATAGGCAGAATGATATTGCCGACAAAGACAAGGGAGACTGGATTGACCATTTCTGTCTTATTGACCGTCGTCAGTCAGTCATACCCAGTCTTGAGGTGTGGAACACCTGGGGCCCGAACTCGCGACCTGTTAGTTAGAAGTTCGATGCCTCTAACCACTGAGTCACGGACTTTTTGACTTGTCGGTTTTGCTCGAGAATATACAATGGTGGAGGAAATGCTAATAAGCCAAAAATGGCCATTCCAGTCTCCCTTGAAATTCTGCCTAAATGTCATTCACAAATGACGAAATATAGTCAATCTCCGCCGAGAATTCGGACTTGATAACTCAGTGGACGGAGCCAGCTGGTCCAATGGCCGCTGACACGCTAGGCTCTGAATCAAATCGCGAGTCCGCCGGCATCAAGGGTCAGCGACATGACTGCCTGATGACAGTAGATAATCCAGAAAGGTCAATTGCGGTCGCGATTGTATCTGTCTGTAACTCTTTTCGGTTTGTCATTTTTCGCCACCGCGCGGCTGGATATGGAGATCTAGGCTCAAGATTCCACAACGCAATGAAACTGGTTCATCTTACGTTATTCAATCAAAATGTTATGATAAACGTTAATCCAGTTGGACATCAGGACAATGTCCAGTGTCTGGAACCCAGTGGGCACAGTTGTGGATCCTCCCCAAATGACAGATTTTCCTTCGTACGCATGAGGAACGGTCGCATTAGTTAGAATAAGCTCGCCATAGTAGCCAAGTCGAAGAGAAAATTTATTTATTTTCGCGGTGGTTAGGCGTGAATGCATAAATCCATAGAAGGGACAGTAGGCTTGTTGTGGGCGGGTTCAGCTTCCTACAAGCGACTTTTGTCAACCTACGTTGCTTATTTAAACGTTATATCATAATGATAGTGGAAGCCAGGACGGGGCATGCATCTGGTGCCTGGGAACTAAACACCTGACCAACAATACGCACCTTATTTTGGTCAGGGTAGGTTGTGTAACTCCACTGGATTTATCATGTATAAGTAACCACTATATTTGCTTTAGAAGGTCCTGTTTTGTTTATTGATCTACAGCTACAGGAAGTCTCCTTTTGGGTGTCATCTAACACTTTGATATAACCGCATACACTGAGTTGATTTTTACAGCTTATTTGGCATGATGACTTCGCTCCCCTCTCCGTAATCCCTTTTGTTTTACCTTGATTTCCTAGTTAGCCCAACGTACTTGCATTGCCTTTGGTTGTCGATTCCATACGTTATGACTAACTCATTTCTTCCAGAAGAGTAGTTAAACCTTTTTGTGCTATGACGGCACTCACCATGCGACGCGTACTTTAAGGGTCGCCGGTTGCATGTTGGTTTACTTTACCTCGGTTAGAACACAAACGCTCGGTTTCCTCGATATCTCCAAGCAGTTTCTGTTGCCGAAGACGTACGCTTGACTTATTTATTTCTCTGAGAATACTTATGTACAGTCCCTATAGTAAGCAAAAATAACACGGTTTAATTTATTTGGGAGGTGGGGTTACACAACCCATCGTTACCCTTATTTTTACTAAGCAAAAGTCATTGTTTACTCAAGCTACGGAAAATGGCCTGTGCTTCCCGTCTCGTCGCTCTACTTAAAGGACACTGACTACTTATTCGGGTTAAGGACGAGACTAACTTGCGTGCTTCCAGAACCATCGGCTGCGTCTGGAGAGTTGTCATACAATCTCAGTGGAACCAAAGCACCCAATACATTAGGCTCATGATGCGGGTAAGACATATGGGAGAATAAAATGTCAACTGGCACATTGCACCGAAGGAGTGGCCTTCTAAATGAAGGGACTGCTCGATTCGACCACTTTCCAGGTTCTGAGGACGACAATTTGTCTACTTATAAAACGAAAACCGGAGGTTTCCGCAGATCACAAGGGGAAATTCTCTTTTGAAATCGTAAGGGCATCTCGGCATACGATGGGTGTGTCTGCGTAATCACCATGGTTACTGCCCGAGATTACTGTGTGATGTCTTGCCAAACTTCTCGGGCCCTACTATTTACGTTAAACATTTAACTTTATGCAAAAATCGAGTAAAGGGTAATCAGTTTCAGAGGAACAAACGGACGATGCTCTTGTCTGCAACCCTAGCAGTAATATGTCTCATAAAATGCAAGTAAATAAATAAGCCAGACACTCAACCAGTGTAGTAGCGGCCAATCAGAATGTGCGATACCGCTGTGAAACCAGAACTGGAAAGATAAGGGAACTGGTAATAAAGCAGATAATTCGTAATTGGCCTTTTCGGCAGCGACTCAGCGAAGCACGTATCTGAAATTTTAATCAGTACCTAACTGTTCTTTGACCCCTGTGCTCATTGAATCTGAAAAAAAGAGTTGTAAAGCAAACTGAGGGACATGAAATAGTAAACCAGGACTTCCTTATGCGTTTTGCTGTGCACATTCTAGTTTAAAAAACTGACCTTGTTGCTTATTTGATGGTTAGTTCGTTTGCCTTTGCGCTAGCAATCATCTATGCTACCCAAGAATTTCAATATCGTTGCAAGTTACTATGTCCGAATCCCTGTGAGAAAATAAAAATTCTCCCACCACAGGTTTAATTTTTTATGAAGTCGAGGGAAGAGTGACGACTCGCAGACCAGTTATGAGTGTTTTGTTCAATTCAATTTATTATGGAAACGAACAGGCAGAAGAGACTGAAAACGTTTTTTCACAACCGAATATGGCCTCTATGTACAGATTACTAAGTCGACTGCATGCATCCAAACAACCTCAGCACAGATTCAAGCAATGACCGCATGTGAGGAATTATATTTCGCGTTATGTCTGTGAAGGATCGTTATGCATTTTTCCACTGAACTTGACGCTACAACAGTCCCGACGAAACATTTCACGACCCCTCCAGACCGCCCATGGAAGCCATGAAAATGCAGAAATTTGAGGGCATAATTTTATGATGTATGTATATAGGCGGTAGATGTGCATCAGATTTGTTTTGCTTGAGGCGTGTGTTCGTAAGAATGTTGTATCTACATGGAAACCACTAAAGTCATCAGTCCCTGTTGAATGCTCCTAGTCCCTTAGTGCATGCCGTGGGTGGCTTCCTACCCAATATATTCACATCTTGATTTCATTCGCAGAACATTCAATTCAATTCGATTCAATTATTTTTATTAAAGAACCGTCGGGGTCCCATCAATGCAAGTAAAAATAAATTTACATGCGAATTTTAGATGAGGTAGGCAAAATCTGTACAAAGTGCAATACATAGTTTTTGAGATTAGAAGGCCGTTAAGCAAAATGAAAAACGAGGGGTGAAAAAAAACTCCAAAGCAAAATTTAAAAATTATTATAGTAATTTAACAGGAGAAAAAAACCCTCAAAAAATAGCATCAGACATTAGACACCGTCTCGTCCGCAGCGTTTTCCCTGATCGGAATTGTCAGCATCCACGACATTCTAAGACAACTGCAGCTGCGATGGAGCGGTCACCTTGAGATAATGAACGACTAGCGACTACCCGATCTACTTTTCTATGGAGATTATGTCACGAGTGCTCACCGTAAATGAGGTCAAACCCACCGCTATGAGGACACCTTGGCGAGTTCCTTGCAACGCTTACAAATCAGTGCTAAGACCTAGCGAGGTCTCGCGCACGATCGGCCGCCCTGGAGAAGAAACATGTAGACAGCAGCAGCAATTTATGAAACCTACCGTATCGTCTCTATCAGTTCGAAAGTGGAAGTTTTCAAATGTCAGACGCTCCTAAGCCGTAACGGCAAAATCCAGCCCTCCCGACATGCCCGGTCTGTTAACAAACATTTCGCGCGTAGATCGGCCTCGCCAAACATATCTAGATCCAACGAACCAACAGTCGACAATTTCTACGGCTGCCTTCTCGACCGGCCCTGTTTCGCCCCCCACGGCATCCACGACGGCGTCAAAACTTATGGCCAGTGACCACAATCTCAGTGCTCCGTCGCCGTTGGTCACGGACATTTTCATCATACCTGCCACGAGTTCTGCGGCGATGACCAACACCACAAATCCCACTCACGCCACCGGCCATTACGCTCCCGACTGCTGGTTAACCACCACCCTCGAAAATTGCCACCCAAAACCCCAACGGTGTGGGCTCATTCCCAACCTGCCCCAATTGCGATCACACAGTCACCTCCCACATCAGCCTGGCCGGTCACTTGCGAGTCCATCCAACGCAACACTGGCTGGAGCCTCCACGCACAACCGCCTAATCTGTTTTCATTGTCCACATTGCCGTCGCACATCCATTCAGCGTTAAGACCCATTCGGTCACATGTGTATCCACAACACCAGTAAACGCCGCGAAACAGACAGGCCAGCTTATCGCTATAGAAAGAGCTTTATTACTCGGACGTCTCGGATTAATGTTTGAACCCATCATCTGAGACAGTGTCATATATGGATGATTCGTACGCAGAAAGTTGCAGTATTTATAGAATGCAATCACTATGCCACTGCATACATATGATATTTACCGCTCTCTCTTTCATCGGGGATTGTTGCCGACTGGTGCACACAGACCTAATGCGATCATTGGGCGTCAGGTGATGAGAGAAAAAGACCCACTGTCACAGCAGAGAACTTCTGGAGTCGCTTGCCGGATCTGATGCAATTGCGAGCAAAGCAACTACGTTGGAGAAACTGGAAGACCGCTCCAGAAGCGAGTTCTCCAACATGCGGTAGCAGTGCGGAGACATTAGGCCAGCTCTCAAGACACGGGCATTCGAAGAGTTCCGGCCACAGTCGTATTTTACAAGAGAAGTCGATTTGCCTGCTAATCATTATAATGGAAACGAGGTCGCTAAATTTGACTCATTCTCACAGAAGCTTTTGCTCAGCAAGAACTGCTGATGCTGAAAGAAGCAACATCGCCAGGTCCTGATAAAATACCAGAAGAGTTGTCGATAGAATTAGTCAACATAATTGACAGAGCGGCTACGTCTTCTCTTCCATGTCTCTATCGGTGCACACAGACTGCCTTCTGAGGGGAAGGCTGCGTGGATTTCGCCGTTAAATGAAAGTTGCAGTAGTGCTTCCGCAAACAACTACCGACCGTTAAGCTTCGCATCCATATGCTGCAAAGTTATGGAGCGAATTATCAAACGCGAACTGATGCGGTTTTTAGAGCAGTATTATCTTCTCCCTGATGCGCAGCGTGGATTCCGCAGAGAAAATTCCTGCCTGACCAGTCTACTCTAGTCTTGAACAGTGGACCCGAGCGATTGATGGAGGAAACGAGGTGCATGTAGCCTACATATACTCCAAGAAGATCTTCGACGGTGTGCTACACCAACGTCTCCTATGCAAACCCAGCCGCATAGAGGTAAAAGGCAAGTTTTTGTAGTGGACTGAAAACTTCTTGATTGGTCGGTCTCAAATTGTCCGTCTTGATGACCAGCCACCGGCAGAGGTGACTGCTGCGAGCTGAGTACATCGGGGCTCCGTTCTTGGCCCTATCCTCTCCCTCATCTATATTGATGAATGCATCCATTGGTTGGACTGCGACATTGCCACGTTTTCTGAGGATGTAAAGCTTTTGAACGTCATCCGCAACGGGAACGATGAAGCAAATCTACAGGCAAACTTGGACCGACTCTAATAATGGTCAGGCCACTGGCTCCTCCCATTTAATGCTACCAAATGCAACATCATGGGAATTGATAGAACCAGTTCCTCGCATCGGAGGACGTACTATCTAAATCACACACGGCTGTTAGTAGCAGAGGCTCAGAAGGATCTAGGTGTGCGGATAACATCTTCACCAAAGCCATCATTCCACTGCTTGAAAGCAGCGAAATCCGCAATGTCCAGCTAATATCCCATCAAGATGGCATTGCCGAAGTTCGACGAAGTGTGCTCTCGGAAGGTCTTCAGGGTGTTTGTGCACCCACGGTTAGAATTTGCCATTCAGACCTGGAGACCCTGGTCTGTCAAAGATTCTACTACCCTCGAAAAAGCCCAAAGACGGGCATGTTAAATTAACACTTAATTCAGATATGGACATCAGTCCGGTTGTTTGGACCTCACCATAACTAGGGATGATAGTTGCATTCGCGGATTGGAATCGCAGACGGCCCTTGGCCGAAGTGACCACTGCGTTCTAGTTTGGGGGTAAAGTCATTTTCCAGCACCCGAAATTCGAGCTGCTAAGTGAAGAAATGTATGGAAAGGGGATTATCACCGAATGAAAAATCTGCTACAGAAGGTGAACTGGAATGCAGCACAAGGACCTGATCCAGAATGCGATTGGCTTTTCCCCAAGAACGTCATGCAGCACTTGGTAGAGAGCTGTTGCCCACTTTAGAGGAAACCGCACACTTCCCGACCAGAGTGGGTGACGTCAGAAATAATGAATAACCTTAAATTGAAAAGGAGACTTTGGAAAAAGTACGCCGGATGTCAACAACCAGAGCATTTCGTTGACTTCAAATAACGGAGAAATATATGTCCGAATCTGTTGAGAAGGTCCCTATATATAAGCAGCATTACTTTTTGACTTTTGTTATCTCCTGACGAAGCATATGCGCTTGCTTCCATATTACTTGGTGCATTCAGTACCGCGTGCTTGTTATTGTGCAATTTTGATATAGAAGGCATTCACAGACAAATTTATAAAAGTAACCAATAGTTGTTGTGTGTAATTACTTGCAAAATTTTCTTTAAAACTTGCCTAACATGTTGGTTTTTGACGTCATTGTAACAAAAAGGGAGTTTAAAGGCTCTGGTCTACCTGCCCCTTAATAAATTGGATCTGATCATTATACTACATGTAAGTGCTTTCTGTTTTGTTTCTTATATGTTTACCTTATGGCCTTTCAACTACTGCTTTTTATTTTGCAAAACCCATAGTCGACGAACCCTCGCAAATCATAATGATACGCAACATACATCTGGAATGTTAATAAAAATAGGCGCAGGTCAGCCAGCAGATCGAGAGCCTGAAGCTGATTCAAGAGCGGCAAAAAGTGCGCAGAATAATCTTAAAGTGGAAAATGTGACAAAAGAAGACGGAAAGCGGCTGTTTTTAACGTAGACTTTATGCGAGAACGCCGGTTTAATGTAACGTAGGAAGTTAATTAATGTTGGTACCATTTTAATGCAAACTGAAGGGGTATATGCTTGTTAGCAATCTCCTCTCACCTGCAATACTTAGGCGCCTTGACTCCTAAAACAGGACATGAAATTCGTCTGAAAGTCTGCACGTTGAGTCAATGCAACCTATTTGATAAGTCTGCTTTAACGGTTTGGCCAGACAACAGAGCAGTCATTTGGCGAAGGCATGCGCTATCTCGAGTTTTCCTCCGAATATTGTGAGCAATACTGTCTTTGAAAGTAAACCGTAAATTTTCTCATGTCCCCACCTCGTGCTTCTAAAATCAGGTTCTGCCACCGTTCAAAGTGTAAGTTATAAGCTTATTCGTTTAATTATTTTTTATTCCTGTCTCTGTTTGTTTTTCGGAATTAAATTGATTTTCTGATGTGGTTCCTGCGCTGTATTTAAGACACACAACCAATATCCCTACTTTTGGGTTTCTCGCCCCTCGCGAAGTATTCGGGGTTGCAATGAGCTTAAAGCAGCTAATTTTGCTAGCTTTACTCGCATCATGTTTGTACTACGGGATACGACCGTTTATATATTTTTCGCTTGCTTTGCTTTCTTTTGCTGCTGGGTATGACGTTAACGTTTTCTTTCACCATCAGCTTTATGACTTTCCTCCCAGATAGACGGTGGAAGTCTCAAAAGTCGTATAGCTGCTTATCACGCGGACTCATAAAAGTACAAGTCTTCGCGTTTACATACCTCGCCCTGTCCTAGGTTGACGAGAACGTCATGACGAATTTGAAGAAGGTGACCTATTCTGTTTCAGGATGCAACGAACTTGATATAGTTATTGACCAGGTATTATTGCTTTGCCATTCATAATACCTTTTTAGATTCTAGACCATATAATGCAAGATTACGTCAAAAGTTGGTACGGCCCGCTGACGAATGAGCCTGAATTCCTCCAAAACGTGCACTTCGGGCTGGCCAACCTACTGTCGGAAGTTTCAAAAAAGTACACTTTAATAGCCCAACTTACTTTCTAGGTTCCAAGCTATTAACTGGATCCCCTTTCTGATAGATGGCGTTCCCAACACGGTGATCGATCATTTGCGAATTTATAGAAAAACGCTGGAGAGGTTGCATGCCTCAAAGCAGACTGGACACGGTCATTTCAGAGTCTTTTTTGATATTGAAGCCGAGAAGGAGGAACACTTTTGCCGGGAGTGTATATGCACACGCCCCGAAGACGAGCTAAGTATGCTGGGAGCTTTCTTAATGTTTGGCTTAAGAACACCTGAGGCGCCTGACTGAAGTTATTCTTTACGCAACGATGCCCAGCGACGATTTTGCCGTCCCAGCGTATCGGCTTCTTTTAAGAGTAAATTTCAGCCTTTTTACAATTCCTTCTAAGGATGTCGTTGTTAATGGAATTTTGCTACCAGCCATAAATATTCTCGCGGATCCGGACTTCGTAAATCGCACAATTATTAATCTGGTACGTTTGTGCCGGAAAATTTGGCCCTTAGGGTGTTTCTGAGCTTCGAAATGCACATTTCGCCCTTCTTAGCTGAGTTGCTTGAGTCAGGTCTAGCGCTCTATTTTTCCTAAATAGTACTATCAGCCATTTTCTGTCTCCGAATTACCTACCAGTGTTATCTCTGTATGAGAACACCATTTAAGCTGTAATTGACGCCTCCTAATCCAGAATGCTTGTTAAAAAGCTCATCATTTGCTCTCTCGTATTGCTTAAAATTACAACTTTCCTTACAGGAATTCTACCACGGATCGAGACTTGATAAACATCTTCGCGAATTATTTAAAATAGGATAACAAACACTGTGGCATACTTCCGCACCAATTATTCTTTTAACAATCTCTTTATTATTCGTGGACCATTGAGTGAAAAGATGCTATGTTCTTCCTTTCAGCTGTCTTTTAAAAGGGTTACATTAACTGGCCGAATTTCTTTTTGACCTCTACACTGATTGCGATAGCGGCAACTTGCGCTGGCAACATCTAATCCACATGAATTGACCCAAATAGATGCATCGTCTGTCTTTTACTTAGGCGCTGAGCGAGGACATTGGATAACTATCCCCTGAGCCTCCAATTCTAGAATTTGCGCTTTTGCTAAACCGAAGGAGCTCTATGTTGTGCATCAGATTTGTTTTCTTTTTTGTATAGTGCAACGAGTCGGCGTGTACCAGTCCTTACTTTATACACTCTCTTCGGATGTCACACAATGTCCCGGAATTGGAGGCTGTCATGGATAGCATCATAAAATTCTCTGACCGACTTAGAGGACACGATTCTGGCGGCGAGGATGGTGCGTTTCTTAATTTCTTTTTTTTTACGTACTTGTCGAAGTGTTATGGTAGTTATAAGAATTTTCTCTGCCGATAATGTCTTGATCACCAGTTCGTCAGACGTTTAGTAAACTGAATAAGCTGATTTCTTTTTCCAAGGCTAAAATTGAACTGTGAGCGCGTAGATGGCGTCTGTTTTGCTTCACGGCACAAGCGCCTTTTACCTAACAGTTGTTTTTTGGTCTAGACGCACTGATAAAGGCCCAGCTGAGCAGCTTACAATTCATTAGTAAGCTATGCACGAGCCGGATCGAGCTGCTAAAAAGTCGCCCGTCTCCAAAGGTACTTCGACTGTCTCTTTTCCGATCTTTTTGTTTATGCTTATAGGTGCTACACTGAAACAAGCTCCGTATCCTAACAATACGTTTGTTGTATCCGGAAATGTTATATACTTGTTACGACTTTCGATTTCTTAAATTCGTAACCTACGCTGGAGCTGACAACCTGCATTAATAGGCGGGTGAGGTATCAGCAAGGACTAAATGTACCACCGGTCAGACCTAACTGGTAACCTTAACTAGTTTTAATGATCTGCTGGTACTAAAGGTTGTCAAAAACAGGAATGAATGCTTTACTGAGACCCTTGACATGAAAATGACATCTCAGGAGTGATAGAGGATAGGACGTGCATTCAGTGCATGCCGCAGATACCATCATTGTCTTTGTATATGTTACTTCGGTCACTACCTTTCTTTGGAGCCATGAATTTCAACCACTGGGACACGCCACGTGCCGAGACGCGTACATGAAACCTAGACATAAAAAGGATAAGAAGTTAACAGTTGGGGCGTATCTGATAAAACGACGTTCTCGGTCTTTGTTTACCGCCATTGTCGGTACAGGTTGCCGCTTCTGTTCAATATTACGTGACGCTATCTTACTAAAATCGTCCGTTTGATCACTACGCATCTCCTCACTGAGCTAAACTATAACTTAACACAAGGCTGGCAGCTTTGCGCTGCAATGCCTTTAGTCTTGACTCTGAATGAGTGCCGCGGGCTAGTGACGATTTTTTGACGCGAATTCACATCAGGCATCTTGGTGGATGTCATTTTTATTTTTTGTTGCGTTGGTCCGCACACATTTCTCCCTCTGGGCTTGCCAGAAAGTGCTTACAACATCTGGGTCCGTGATTTTTAGCCCATGCCTCCGTCGGTCGAAGATTCGGTGCCGATTTGCGATCTTTCTTTCGACAGCGTGATGAACAACGACATTGCGGTGGCCAACTTTCTTGGTAAGTCTGCCTTCATTTTCATGTTTCCGCCCTATCTCCCTAATTTTATTTTATAGACACTCTAAAGAGGTATATCCGATCTTCCATTTCTTAGACTTTCTCACCTCGCTGAACGAACAGTCCCTATTCAGTCTTTACCTGAATTGTGTGGTAAGCTTTACTCAGGTCGTTGTCTTCATTATTTACTTTTGCGGGCAGCGAATTCGGCGTTTGTCTTGATTGTAGGACAAAATGCGGATTTTCTGTTTGGTCTTTGAATTTGAAATTGCTTTAACGTCGTTTTAAGCCCCATACTTTGCCCGACAGTTCAACCGTCGTTTCCGACGATGTCCACCGTGTGCTCCACAACAGAAGGAAGCAGGGACGGTGACTTGTACGTGAATTAGTTTATAGTGAGCGTAGACTTGCACAGCACCTACCGCACTCTCTCCTCCCCCACCTGGACCCGGTGTCAAGACAGAGTTGAATTGACCGGATGTAGGGAAGGGTGCAGATGCATGGCACGATCGAGCCCGCACCTTGGCGCTCCACTCCACACCCCCTGGTCCACACATCAAATGACCAGGATTTTAACCAGCAACAAAAATGGGGAGGACCGCAGGGGTCTCAATGCGCTTGACATCCGCCGGCAACTGGGTCTGCCACCGCACCCCGAAATATTGACATTTGTTATGGTGTGCATCCCGATAATGTCTGCCAGGATCTGATATGGCACCCGTGTTGGTCCACCGTTCGAGGCCCGCGTGGTGTCAACTACGCTCTAAAGTACCTTAGATTCCCTGCTGTTGTCCGTGGAGAAAATGCATGTGTACAGTTTAATCTTGAAACTTCAGACCGCGCGTTAGAGAAAGTGACTAACCAAGTGGTTGACCAAAGTAGAGGAAGGAGATTGAAATGACCATTGCTGATGTGTGTTCGTATATCCACCAGTCACTCCGGAAACCCCGATTGGAGCTGTACGTGGCCGGAAGTCGAATGAAGTCTCTGCAAGGAGTTAGAATATGATTGACTGGAAGTGGTGAAAATTTCGACCTGCTAACTTTAATCTCCGCCGCTTTTGTCATAAATTTATTCCTTATCTATTTCTTACCTTATTTAGACCACCCAAAATTTTTCAGTCAATAAACTTCGCGAGGGTGGAGGCACACGAAACCTGTGAATTTGCTAGCCAGCTATTACGTCTAGCTGCGAGCACCTACACTGGGACAGGGGAACTTCCCTTCGCGACCTTTTCCCTCTGTCTAATTCCAGACAGGACGCCATACAATCCGATTCTGCGGTTTCTACTTCTGCACGAAGTCGGCTTCCATCTAGTGTTCAACCAGGCTTGCCAATTTCTCGTCGATTGTTACTTCTTGGGGTGTACAGCATGTTTGACAATGCTCCCCACGCACCCTTTGAGCATCATACGTTGGGGATTTCTTAGTTTTTACTAGGTCTTCTCAGTGAATGCCTGAAACCGCGCGTGTGAAAGGATCCCTGTCAGTAACGACTGCGGTTCACGCGGCTGGATAGGTGGGACAGTATCTAAATAAGCAGATGCCCCGTCAGACATTGTTCCGGCAGTTTGGATTTGTGACTGCCCTTAATGACTGAAAGGGAAACATGTGTAAGACTTCACTAAATCTTTTGAGCAAAACTAAGCACACGGTACGACACAAAAATGGTCTAATCAAGCGACATTTTGTGAAGATTTGTCATCTCCGTTTTAATTGAAAGTCGTGTATGGGACCAGGTCGCCGGTCTCCACAGATGCCCACCGCATCGAAATTGTTCTTACCACGGCCGCGTGACACGTAGAGTTTAAACATTTAAAAATGTGCTACTTGGCTGAATGTAAGTAACAGTTTATGGTGCTTTGCATGTTTACCCCATGCATGGTCGATTTCTGCAGCATCAATTGGACAATCAGTAGGGCTTCTGTGCAAATTGCTTGAAGGTAAATTTGTTCAGGTCACTTCTATCAGAAACACGACACTCGCCGTCTCGCCTCCAGAATCCGGACTGCTGATTAGTCGATGTCTCCCCACCAGTTTGTCGATGAGCTACGATTTGCTCTTCTACAATTTACCGTTCAATCGGATGGGCTCTACTTTTTTGTTCATAACTTCTGGTCACCGCTTTTATAGGGTTGATCGGGACCCAGACGATAGTGAGCTGGTGTTTGTTCGTTGGAGATCGACTCTTAATGACCGCCTTTTGAAAACAGTGCAGTCGTCGCGAGCATTCCCAGCTTACTTGACAGTTAATCACGTCGTTCATTATTGAGATGTGCACACACTTTTTCGCCTTCGCTTTGCCCTATCAAAATTTGTGACCCGGGTTTTCTTAGTTCATTTCGTTGTCTTTGCAGGCTTTTAGAGCCAACGCTGAGTCCCTGTCAACGGAAGTCTCCACAAACTCGCCCAGTAACTCGGATGACAAACGTACCCACGAGGATATGACCAGCGAGCAGGCCTTAGACGAGTCCCTGTCATCATCCTCTGCTGTGGACTTTAAGCTCGACTCCCCGTCACTCGATGCGGAAGGTGTCGCGGAGGCTCGCTCCAGCCCTGGCTCCGATGAAGCTGAATTCTTCAACTTCAACTCACAGCCTACCTCCTCGGAGGAGAGCGGCGCTGCAGTGCCGCAGGACCTAAGGGCTTTCGGCGTCTCCTTGTGCAATTTAATCCTTCGAGATCTTCCGCTTATTCCCGAGGAGACTGTACAAAAGTGCTTGCGCGC